GTTATTTCAGTACTATTATTTATTTTCTTAGTTCTAAAGCAAACTTTAATACCANACCATCTTACTAACTTCTTTTGTGTATAGCATATGGACGTCATATCTATAATTGAGAAAGAGGGAAAGTACAATCAGACATAGGACTTCAAGTATACAACTGTTGATTGTATATTCGAGACAAGAATCGCTGAAATATACGACAGGTATGAAGATACAGATAGTGATGCTAATGTAGCCAAACAAGAGGACGTGGTATGTGAGTATATGAGGGGCTACAGATTGCATGCTAATGTACCTTGGCATACTGTGGATAATGTCTTGATACCAGTCAACTTGAAGGACAAACTACACTGGGTATTAGCTGTTGTCACATTCAAGGTGAGATGTATCAAAGTGTATGACTCGTACAGATCTGCAGGTCATGATGCCTATGTAGTTTCTGAGATTGATAAGCTAGCTAAGCTTCTTCCTCTGTATCTATCAATCAGTGGCTTTTACAGCGATAGTCAAGGCATAGATTGGTCTGCTTATCCAGCATACACTGACAAGTCAGATAACGATCCCTTTGAAGTTTTTTTCATTTCAGATCTGCCTCAACAGAAAGCGGGCAGCATGTAAGTATTCAATCATCATTCTTGTATGTTGTATACAAATCTAATTGTATGAATTATTTTTAATTGTTTCAATCAATTATTTTTTAGGGATTGTGGAGTGCATGTTGCAGCATACGCAGAGTTTCTGAGCACTATTGGAGAGATTCCAAAAACAACATTTGACTCCACTCTACTCCGTCAAAGATATGGTGCTCTCCTCTGGGACTATGTTAAGCGTAAGATAGACGCTGATGCCATAAGCGAGAATGAAGCACCTTAAAAGATTGCTAGGCAAATCACTGAGTCGGAGGCAAAGTTGCAGATAGTTTTAGAATAGCTTTAGGTTATTTTAGTTTTGGAGTGTAGTTTCAAGAAGGATACTGTTTTGAGTAGTTTTGGGTGTAGATGCTATTTAGTTTTAAAAACTTATCACTTATACATTTTTGTTCGTGTATGACAATTGCAACTTTTTAATGACAGTTTCACTGGTTTATTCATAAGTATTCCTACTTATCTTCAGTTGTATTCAATTGTATTCAGCTGCATCCATTCAGATATATCTTTCAAGTTCATATAATACATATTACAGAACACAACTTCAGATGTATTAAGCAGGTTGTACGTGGTCATATGTATTCAGGTGTATTCAATTGTATTTAAGTGTATTATTCAGTATTAGCTAGTTGTATTTAAATGTATTATTCAGATGTATTCAGTTGTATTTTGGTGTATTAAATATACTTCATATATATTTATCTGTATACAAATTCTTCAACTAAATGTATTCAGAAAATATTAACGAAAGTCATTTCAATATATATTACTTGACAAAGAGAATTTATTATAGCTGCTAATGTCATCATAAGTATTGACAAATCGTTAACCACCAATACATGTCAGAATACAACTATTTATTACGTGGAGCATTTCTACACGTTCGCTTGTTATGTCCTCCCTGCCCACATATGCTACATGAATGTTGGTTTTTCGGCTGCAGCAATTCACTTAAAGTTTTATCGCGCTTCTTCTTTGGCCTTCCAGGAGGTCTTTTCCATTTGGGTGGTAGTACAACCTCCTCTGCTACATGTTCTGGTATATTCCAGTCATTTTTGTCCGGTAGCGGGTACACTGGCACATCGTATGTCATTACAATTGTACTTGGTTTGTAATAGTTAGAGCAATATTCTTCTGGCATTAGAAACTTGCTCTTCAATACAGCCCAAGCATGTGGGCATGGCAATTCATCAATTTGGAACCTCCCACAAACACATTTTCTCTCTAACAGGCAGACTGTGTAATTCCTCCCACCATCGTTAACCGTATATAAGTATTCATTTGATGGTACCACCTACATTTAAAAGTAGAAATATAAGTTTTGAACACATTTACCTGAATTACCAAATGTATAATGTTGAATTAACAAGTTACATATAACAGAAACATTTGCATATATATATGAATACATCATATATTTAGACCAGCAAAATATCATCTGCGAGAAGTGCAGAACTTATCAAAAGTCTGCTGTAGTTTAGGCAACAGTATGCTAACAAAAGCATTATAATCATACATATTCACAATACATATAAAAATTACATATCATATAGCTAGTTGTATTCTGATGTATTCCAATAGTTTTTTCAGCATGTAACTTAGTTATATTCAGTTGTATTCATATCAGATCTATGGAAAAATATGCATGTTATGTGCTTGAATGTAGTTGTATTCATATATATTAATGGTAGTTCTACTTAAAAATGATTGTATTCAGTTGTATTCATGCCAGTAATTCAGAAATTAACTAAAAATATATACAGCAATGACAGTAAAATTTAACTTACAGTCATACGTGTACACATTCTCTCATTCAACTCCAGCATCTCCTGGTATTTTTTTCCCAAGCGTCTTGTATGTCTGTGTAGCTTCTTTGCAGTTACTACAATTCCAACGTCCAAACATCTTCCTAACTTCTTCGAGGAAGTCGTATATTGGCAATTCCCTTGCTGAAACTAGTGCGGCATTGATTGACTCAGCAATATTTGACGTCATTGTCCATCCCCTGTTAACAGGTGCATACAACCTAGCCCACTTTTCGTAACCAGCTAACTCTAAGTATTCTTTCACCCTAATATCTACCTTCTCCACCTTCTCCATCAGACTGTCAAATTCAGCTTGTGTGTATGCTTTTGCCATCGAGAAGTATATCTCGCTCAACTTGGCATGGCTCTTTTTGAATTTCTTATATACGTTGTTCCATAGATGCCATATACAAGCAAAATGCGGTACATCCGGATACACTCTCGATACAGATTTAATGATACTCTCATTTCTATCTGAAACGATGCACATGTTTTCCCTTACACCGTATGCTATCTTGAATTGCTCAAAGAACCACGTCCAAGCAGCATCGTTCTCTGAATCAATAACACCATATGCTAGTGGTAATATATGACCTGTACATACAATTGAATATAATTATTTCTTAATACATGTATTTCAATATTTAAATATTAACATATTGTATTATTATTCAGATACTCACCTGCACCATCCAACGTGCTTGCCGAAACGAATGTACCGGTGTAGTAAGATTTTAGGTGACTTCCATCCACAACAACAATTGGTCTACAATGATCAAACCCCCTTATAAAGGCATACAATGATATATACACGTACATGAATTCATTCTTTGGCGATTTTACCATTCTGATGTGGGAACCTGGATATGTCATATCCATTGTATATAAGTATCCTGGTAATTTTTTGTATGAATCAGCCGGTTCACCTCTAAGAAAATTCATTGCCTTTTCTTTAGCCCTCCACGCCAACATGTAGCTAACATCTACACCTAAATCTGATTTCACATCATCAATAATGTCCCTCGGAGTGTATTTCCTCTTATGGTTTGTAAGCTTTGGCCTTATAATACCACCTATAAGGCTGCTACTAGCCTGCCGCTGCTCGTACACCTTATCCTTCAGCGGACATGTATGGTTATCATTGAATTCTCTCACCTTGAATAGTTCTGATTTGTTAATGCTTGAAGCCTTAAACCTCCATTCACAATCTTCTGAAATACATAATAATGCATAGCTGCAAAGAATTAATCATTTAACATTTGATTAGCATACTTGTTTACAACAAATACAGCTCATACATCAGACAAATAGAATCTGACATATATACATCCTGAATACATGTTAACAAATTCACAAGTGTATATATAATTTTGTATACTACTGAATTCCAATATAGTTACATGCGTTCAAACACAATGAATACAACTGAATACACTTGTATGAATATGCAAACACTTAATACCACAGTAGACAAAATAAGAAAATAATTAGAGCCTCTGTTGTGTTTGTACACCATTAAAATACATTTGAATACATGTATTTAAGCACCCTAAACAAATATAAGTTTTCATATGTGTTCATCAGGAGGAAACACACAAATACGCATAAATACAACAAATTTAAACAAAAAACAAACCTGACAGCATTAGACCGATCAACCCGGAATTGAAACCTTTGAGCTATAGCATAATTCTCCATCACCTCTTTCAATGTAGCCTTATCCTTATAAACTTGTCCGGCCATAACCTCCTTTTGATTGGTTTTTGAAATTATCAAATCATTGTGGAGTTCGAACACTCCAATCGCTTCTCCTGAATTGACAAATTCTATAGCTAGTGTATTATCAGTATCGGAATCGTACCTTTGAACTGCTCCGTCTATAAGCTCTTTTTCGATAGTAGTTACGCACAAAAGATACATCCCAAATTCTCTGTTCTCTTTTTTCTATTATACATACACTTTGTAACCCATATCATTGTGTATTTCCATTAGCGTGCAATTTCCTTCTACTTTGTATTGTATTTTAATGGTCTTTGAGCTCAAATCTATACCCAGTTGATTAGAAATTGAAGCAACTAGATCATTAAAGGAGGCATACTCCTTAATCAGTATTCCCTCAATTGCAAAATCGATATAATTGCCCTCATCGTTCCACTTGCCAGAATGACGCAACAAAACTGTTAAACTTGCCATATGTATAGAGCAACTATACCTTATTTTGTATATAATTTGTATCAATCGAAAAAAAGGAGAAGAGAATTGAAGAATTTGGATGCTCTGTTTTTTGCTTCTTTTCACGAAAAAAGGGAGAAGATTATTCTGCTTTCTTTGAGCAGATTATTGTGTACTCGTATTATTTCTTTGAGTTAAATTAGGAGACTATCTTGTGAATTTATTTCCTTCCGTTTTTAACAAGTTTAACTTCCTAGAATTTGCGCAAAAACGTTACTGAATTTTATCTGTATTCAGCTTGAATACAGATAAATACAGATACCCCTTAGCTGGAGTTCCCGTTTTTACGCCTATTTTTTTGGTTGTATTAATGAATACAACTGCTTAAATACATGAAATATATTGTATAAAAACATAAAAGGTATCTATAACAAGTAATATAGCAAAGGGTATCTATAAATGACTAATTAGGGCTAAAAGATGGTGCTTTATGAAAAATTCTCAATAATGAACGAATCATCATGTGAGGCCAAAAATTCTATCATGCTAGTTAGCATAAAGGCAAGGAAATGTTTAAAAACTAATTATTTGATGAATAGAATGGCTATTAAACTTAAAGAAGAATTAACCCAAATAGCCGTCACTCAATCGCTTAAATTAAAAATAGCAGGTGGAGGTATAATATATGCATATTTTTTGTATTATATGTGTAATCTATATATATGGTAAGAAAAAGTAAACAATGAATATGACCGACTATTTGTGTAAAGATCCCAAATTTCCAAGGAAAGAGTAAATATTAAGCTGTGATCTAAAGGGTAAATATTATGTAAAGATAAAGAAGGGGAGAAAACCTGATACGATATTCCAATTCTAGAGGCTAAAACTCATAGGGAAATTTACATAGTATAACCGCCCCTAAAATAATTGTTGCTGAATATATACTTTTATATATCAATATATGATGTGTATATATATATAATCAGTTTATATTTATTTGATTAGCGACTAATTAATTATTTTAGGATGACCGATAAATGTGTTAAATGCCAAAATTCCATATAAAACATGGATATGAGTTTGATATAGATTATGGGAAAATGACATTGTATAACCGCTCTCAAAAATAATAACCGAAAAATGATTTACAAAAATTATACAAATTTTATACACTTTTTCGGCTACCAAATATAAATAGTTTCCGACGAGGGTTAAAAATGGTAATACCCCTAAATTCTGCTTTGAAGTTGTAAACGGGCTTACGCTAAGGCGGGGGCCTTCGAAGTCACTTAAATTTGGGCTTAAAATCCAATATTCTAGCAAATTATTCCTGGGCTGAATCATGTTATGTTGAAATCACACTAATGGTCTACCTTTTGATGATGTTCACAAGGCAAAGGCCCCTTATTTAAAACTCAGCTACTATTTTAAAACTCATTAAACTGTGGGTAACAGTTAATTTCTTTTAAGATAGTAATAAAAAAATGTTGATATTTTAGTTGATTTTTTTTTTTCGTTCTAAAGACAATAATTACTACGTCGGGTTTACATAAATTCTTTTTCTTTCACCGGTTTACGTTTCATTGATTATTCGAATTTGATCTAAATTTTATATTCTTCCTAAGTAGCAGTTGTTTCACGTTATTCCAATTACTTTACGAGTCGTAACAAGATAAGGAGCTAATTCAGTCGTTAAAGTGCCGAAGGATTAACCCCTCAAATGAAAATATTGGGAGTCCATTTTATGTGTAATATATATATTTTTTCGGTAGCTTATGTATTGGTCTTTAAACAAATTTTATGTGGTGAAAATATGTCAAATGGACAGAATAGTAGTTTTGAGCAGATTGTGAGACCTGGATAAAATAAGCATGGCTAACGGTGAATTAATATTTTAGCTCTTTGAAATTCACTCAATCCGTTCTGATCACCCGTTTAAAAAAAAAAGAAATTAAGTTTGTTTTTTCATTTGTGAAAAGAATGATATTTTTGAAGAAATGTGATTCCTTTAGCGTACTAATAGAATAAAAAAAGACAAGCTGATGACAACGAAACTATTTCATAGTGAAAAATTGAAGTGTGACACGTGATGTCTGAAAATGAAGCCTAATCTTCACAAGTAAATTAGTGTTGGAAAAATCAAAGCTGGAATTTTAGGGTCATGATTTCTTTATATTCTTTTCTTTTCTAAAACTTTCTTCAAAATTTTTGTTCAAACACGTTATTCATAGAGTGAAAAGACACTTTTTGAAGAGTCATCAGTCACCACCTTTTGGACTCAAAAAGGAAAAGAAGAAAAAAAAAAAGATAGTTGTAAGTCTTCATTTCATCTACTGACCAGTAACGAATGAGAACTGATGAGTCAATAGTGGAAAACTCGTTGCTACGACGAAATTTAATAGAAGATGAAGTAGTGGTTAGCATTAAGAGACATGAACTAAAAATAAAAAAGGAAAAGCCAATAATGCTTTTGTCATACATAATCGACTCAATACAGAGGAAAAAGTGAAAAATCAAAGTCAGTGTCGCTAAAGTTCCCCAGCTAATTTTCATCCTTTTAGCGTCATAATATATAGAAGTCACAACCTTGAACAAACATAATGTTTGTGACTGCCAGCTAGGATCTGATTGTATTGTTTTAAGTTTAACGGGACCAATATTTACAAGATTATCTAGCATAAAAAGTGCCGCCCGTAATATCACCTATCACATCTACACCGGAAAATTTCACATTAAAATAATTGGGTTCCCTACTTTTCAATTTTATAGCACATATTTTAATTTACAACCAACTAACTCAAAAAAATAAGCTAAGA